GGGCTCTGCCAGCAGCAGCCCGGTGCGCCGAAGGGTCCGTTACTTTTAATTTTTTTCTCGCTGCAGCACTCGATGCTCTCAAACACGTCTCTTTGCCGTTTCCCTCATTGCCTGTTTGTATTTTTTTCTCCTCTCCGACGCGTAGAAAGAAACGCCGCTGGCCTGGGTCTGTGCCCGAGAGAAGCGCTTACAAACAGCGCAACCGCCCGTGCTGCGTGCGAAACATCTGCCAGAGGTCAGCAGCAAAATGGGACCATTCAGGGTCTTAATAAAACCGCGAGTGAGGCTCTTGCCCCGAGCGTCTGACTCGGGATCAAACCCAACTGCGCCTCTTGGCCGCAGCAGCGGCTGGTGTGGACACGTGCCAAAGGGGGACTGTGAGGGGACAGGAACCCAGACCCTGGGTAACCCCGCTGCATCTGCAGGGCCTCCGGCTCTGGCAGGGCTCTTGGACACTGGCCTCACCGGGGCTGTTCTCTCCTCTGTTATACACGAATTTTTGAGCCCCCTGAATGGTGATGGCAAAAAAGTGCTTTTCAGACATTCGCAGTTGTACATCCAATGGTGAGCTCGGCCCAGTGATTAGGGCAGGGCACAGGGCTTCAGAGTTGTCTCCCAGCTCTGCTGCTGACACTGTGTGAACAGTCAGATCCCTTAACCTGTCAGCAAGTGCATTTCTCCATATCTAAAGTCAGATACAGTCTGCTTCCTAGAAACCAAGCCAAAATTAAAAGGTATTTTAAAATCCTTGAATGAGAAGGTCTATGTACTAGACAGGTTAGACATGAAATAATGTTATGCTATAGCACAAATTGTGGATTTGTGTATGGGCCCAGATAACACAGCATTAATAGGAAGATTACGGAAAGCTGGTTAAATCAAGTCACTCACCACGGAAGGACTTGTTGGGTGGAAAACCCACTCCCCTACTGGGATCAAACAGTAACAAACACTGGTTTGAAATCCAGCTGGCACTTGGTTACTAATGCCATTCCTCAGAGATGGATACTGAGACGCACTCAAAACTTGACCAGAGAAGGCTCAGAGTAGCTGCTTTTACCTTTGAAATTAGCCTTGTTTTCACCAGGCAACTGGAGGCGAGGTCAGTTCCACCCTAAATTATTTGATGACTGTGACAAAAGAGTGGGGAAGAGCAATCTCACTCAGAATGTCGTCTGAAGGGAGAGAAACTGAAATCAGCTGCATCCACATCCCGATGAAAAAGAGAGGGTAACTGCATAAACCAGATGACATGATTTGCAAAAGGACTGAACAACATCAGACAGGTTCCTCTGCTTTCCTAATCTCATTTTGTGATACTTGTGTTCCACAGAGATTGCATAAACACACCCTCTTTCTCCTCCCAAAATCAAGTAAACAAAGATCATTCTCAGAGAACACACCTAATGTTTTCATGTGGAGTCTCACTTTGGATTAAATCAAATAGGAGAACAGAACGTTGAAATCTCTACTCCTCAGCAAAACGAATCTTTCCATATTTTTACCACTGATTGGGTTGTAAGGATGGTTGAAATGAAGGTGAACAATATAAAAAAATATTTTGGGTTTTTTTTTTTTTTTTCAGTCTGAGTAATAGCAATCCTCTCATACAACATTAGCAGGCTACAAAAAGGCATTAATGGTGCAGTATCTAGGTCAGTCACTGTGTCTATATATGATCTTATACTCTTGTTGCAAAGTTTCACTATTAGTCATTGTCTTTTTACAGGTCAAGGTTTTTTTTTTTTTTTTACCAGTGACATCATCCTGCTCAAAACTTGCAGTGTGCACATAAATATCACATAAGAGATAGGAGCCCCCATGCTCCCAATAAGAGAGAGGTCAAAAAGGAGTGGAGATTGCTGTCCTTTTAACATTTCAATTTTGGTTGCTGCTAAGCTTCAGGGAAATAGCAGTTAGCTGGGGAAAGGTGATGGTGCAAAGAGCAAGCAAGTCCCCAATCAGTATGTTAAAGAAAGGAAAGTGATTTTTCCTTTTTAAGGTATGGAGCTGGCTGTGAGCTGAAGCTAATTAGCATTTCAAGAGCCATCTTCATGCATAAAGTCCTTGCTGCAGCAGGAAGTGAAATAACTGTAGTAATTTTTCTTCAGTAAGACTTTTTTTATTGCAGACTCCCTGTTTCAAACAAAGGTGAAGAGAAAGATAAAACTGCCTGGGAAGGTAATTGTTGGGTATGGGATGATGGGGACTAAGATAAGTGAATCAAAAGAAAAAATGGCAGAAAAGTTGAAAGTACAAAATGGCTGAAAGGAATGGACTAGGAGCAGAATATGTTCTGCTGCAATGTACGTTATTCATAGCATCACTGAATTGTAGACTAGTTTAGGTTGGAAGTGACCACAGGACAGCTCTAGTCCAAATTCCTACTCAGAGCAGGGTCAGCTATGAGATCACACCAGAGTGCTCAGGGCTTTAGCCGCTTAGGTCTTGAAAACCTCCAAGGATGGAGATTGTACAGCATCTCTGGACAACCTGTTCCAATGCCTGACTGTCCTCATGGTGAAAAAAAGTTTTGCTTATATCAAGTCAGGTTCTTTTAAAATTACAATTTATGTCTGTCAATTTGTCCTCCTACCATGCACTGTTGTGAAGAGCCTGGCTTTGTCTTCATGATAACCTTCTGTCAAAGCCTCTCTTATCTAGGCTAAACAAGCTCAGTTTCTTCATGTTCTTCTTATAGCACAAATGTCCCAGTCCCTGTCCTTCTCAGTGGCCATCCACTGAACTTGCTGCAGTTTATCAACATAGTCAAATGTATGGAGTCAAATGTAATGGAGTTTCTTCTCAGGTAGAAAGTATTAAGAGGAGAGCAAAGACTAGAGAAACACCTTAGATGGTTCATTGTCATCTTAATACTCAGAAACAACCAGGAGCTGAAGAAAAGCTCCACATATTATTTAAATGTCATCTGTCTTTCACTGCGGAGAACCAGACTAGCTGATCAGACCAGCTTTTGTAGGTTCTATCTCTGCTGAGTTTAGCATCTGTCCCAGAGCCATCATGAAAGTTGATGTGTTTACAAAACAGTTCAGCCTAATAGCAGTTGTGCTCCATAAAAGATTTATCAGCTGCAAGCATACTATTTGATCAAATGGCTCAGAAAAGGGATATGTAAAATGATGGTGAGTGGGTGAACAAAGCATCCTCTGAGTTTGCTTATTACAAAATTTTCAAGGAAACGGGTAGATCTGTGTCACCCTCTCCCTTTCTGCTCCAAGTCCAAAAAAAAAAAAAAAAATACACCTCCATGAGTTACTGCCTGTACACTTCCAAATGTTGGCCAGCATTTTATCTGTCTAACTGTAAACTGGTCAGTTTGAAGAGACTAAAGGTTGCAGGCAGCTCCACGCTCCTGATGTAGAATAAGATTTTCCTCCTCTGTTTTAAATTTCTGTTACACCTTTCACCCTGAAGCAGCTCAAAGCACTTCGCAACCAATTCACAAATTCCTGTGTACATAGCAGAGGTCACATCATTGCCCATCTCTATACAGAAGGAAGCGTGGCATGGCTCACTACCTAGTAAAGCCATACAGTTATGTATGGCCTGAAGGAATGCATAGCATGGGTTGAGGTAGAGATACCCTCCTCAGCCATGTGCTTTGTGTGCAGGTTTCTCATGCAGTGTGGAAGAATATCTGTAGGAGATGGGAAAAGATCAAATACACCAGAGTCATTCTGCCACCTCCTTCTGCTTTCATCTCCTCTGTAGCTTGGAATTGTTCTGGGAAGAGAGTATGTACTTCTGAGAATGGCAGTGGACTCTCAGGGTACGGGGCAGAAGGGATGCATATCGTCCGCTTCACAAGTTCTGTGAAGATGTTTGCCTAAAAGTTAATACAGAGACTGAGAGAGTAGAATTGCCAACTTGAGACTTCCAAAGGATGCTGCAGCCAAGGAAGCTGGGTTGCACAGGTGTATGGATGGTCTATAGCCAGAAAAACAGGGGATTGCAGTCTTTGAACACCACATTGCCTGTCAATTCTTGAAAGCATCCATGACAACCAGGGAAGAAGACATTAGGAGATCTATCCTAAAGTGTTAATTCCCGCAGTAAAAACCTTCAACTTCCAAGGTAACTGTGAGGAAACTTTGTAAAAAAACCCCAAAAAACCAAACAAACAACACCCTCCCCTTCCCCCCCCAACAAACTCTTTCCTCCAGTGTGGGGTTTCTTCTTGGGAAACATCTGGACTTGAATGTTTTTCCTATTTTGCAACACTTGCCATTTCGTGTTTTTCAGAAGAGGGCATGATTTAAATTTTTTGTTGGATTCCTGGAGAATCTACTGGGTATGAAATGCCAAATTAAACATCCTTTTGATTTTAGATGAGTCTCCTAGTATTCCAGGTTCTGTTTGCCTCCACAGTCCCACACCTTTAGTGTTTCCTGTAATGTAATTCTTTCAGTATCTTTAGTATGCTGAGCGATTCTTCTGGAAGATAAAAATAATTACACCCTGCTGTTCACCACATCTGCTTACGAGAAGAAAAACTGTGTTTTCTGCATGATCAGCTCTGCTGCAGTAAACAAAGTCAGATGTTTATTGCGAAATAGCTACAAATTCTGGCTGAACTTGCAGCAACACACATACAAAGTACTCCTGGAAGAACTTTCATCTCTGAATATCTGAAATGTTGTTTTGGCACTGCAATTCCAGAGAACCCAAGTGAAACCAAACAAAAAAATCACAGATAAGGCCAACTGTATGAAGTCAGTGCTCCTGTGCATAGGCATCTTGGCCCTGGCTAGCACTGAGAATGCCGATCTAAGAATTCAAGATGATTTCAAGAAGGGGAAAAAAAAAAAGCAAATCTTTCTACTCCCCCTGCCATCCAGTTGCTTATATGTTGCTCTGATGGGTTGTTACTATATAGTGTCAAGATTTTTCCAAATATTTGAGCACTCTTCCATTATAAAAATTGCAAACATCTATCACAGGCATCAATTCTGGAAGATTGTCCCATCAGATAGCACAGTTTATTAAAAATAAAAGCTAAGGAAAGACAACACTATTCCTTGCAAAAGCTGAAGTTAGGCCCAATCCCTACTTCTTCCTAAAAGGTAAAAAAAAAAAAGCAAGCAAGAGGGGGCAGATGCTCATTTAATTTTCCAGCAGCCCAGTTTTCACGTGTTCATTGAGAAGCATCAGCTCAGTGCTGCTTCAGCTTAGAGTCAGTCAGTCATCAATACACAGCTAATATCCAGATATATATTGCAAAGATGGAACAACCCCATGCAGCAGTCCCACAGGAGCATCACTGGCTAGACAGCTATGTGCATAAAACTCCTGGAGTCCTGGAGGATGTCAAGTTGAGCATGAGTCAGAAGTGGACTTCATAATTGCAGCTGTGAAGGCTAACTGCAAACCAGGTTGTGTTCATGGAAGTGTAGAGAGCAAGTCACAAGAAGCGATCAGTCTCTTCTTGGCACTTGTGAGGTGGCATCTGGAATAATGTGTCCAGTTTTATGCCCCTGGTACAAGGAGGACTGATAGGACACAGTCCAGCAGAGAACCACCAAGATAGTTAGGGGGCTGGTAGGCGTGATGTATGAGAAGAGACAAAGTGCTGAGTTATTTCAGCCGGGAGAAAAGCAGCCTGGCTTTTTCTTGTAACTAGCAGGGGAGCTAACTGGTGTTTTTCACTAATTGGCGGCTACAGAGAAGATGAAGCCAGCTTCTGAGGGATGCATAGTGAAAGGATGGAGGCAATGGCTACAAGGTGAATATACAGGTGGATATACAGGAAAACAATTTCTGTAGCAACGGTGGTTGAGACTAGAACAGGTTTCCCAAAGAGCCAGTGGAATTCACATTCTTGGACATATTAAAACTCAGCTGGACAGGGCCCTGATTTAAATCTGAAGCCAGTCATGCATTTACTAGGAGGCTGGACTGCAGACAACCAGACATTGCTTCCAACCTAAATTGTTCTCTTGAGTCTGTGAAACTCAAGCAGTGTGTGACAGTAAGAGACTGCCCACCCTGCATCAGAGAAGGCCTCAGAGAGACTTAACCTGCATGATTTTTCTTAGGAGTAAAAAGCTGTCTCACTGATATCCCACACTGTTCTTCAGGAGATGGGAAGCTGGAACTACTCCCAGAGAAAAGATCTGTTGAGAGACTGGATCTTATATGATCTTATTTCATGCAGACCCAGAGTCAGCAGACTCTGTTTACCATGAAGGGACAACTGCAGCAACTTTGCAAAGTCAACATGGCTTGGAGTGGGGGGATGTCTCCTTTCCCTCCTGGGATCTCTCTGCATGGATCCTTGCTAGCCAGACTTCGTGCAAAGGGCATAATTTGGCCTAGCTGGGAGAGCCTGGGAATTGTGACAACTTGCATGTGTGTTAAGTGGCTGAGGACAGTATTACAGCTAACATGTGCAGGCATCCCTTAGAGTAGTATTGAGTTGAAAGAAATTACGTTTCAGCACTGCCTTCAATTAAAAAAAAAAACAACAAAAAACCAGTCTCTCTTACCCCTCCTTCCCCTGCCCTCAGTGGGAATATCTGATTATAGCCTTTTCACCCAAATTCCTCACAGCTCCTCTTTCTTGAAGCCAGCAGACAGCCTTTCATACAAAAGCACTTACAAAGAGGAGACAGGCACCATTGTATCAGTGTGTTCCATGGCAACTTTTTAGCACTCTGAGAGTTTGCACAATCCAAATGATGTTCCTGTTTTTTATTAATGATATTTCCCAGCTGTTTCTGGTTTACAAAAAGAGATCTGGTCCTTCTTTGTCACAGGCTGTACCCTGTCACTACAGCAAGCCCCAGAGGAGGAATCACAGTGGGGTGCTTTGTAGTTCACTCAGGCAGGGAGAACATGGTCCCAATGAGACTATGCAGGGTCCGCAATTCTTTTTACAGTTTAGTTTTAATTTGAAAAAAAAATACCAAGCACTAATAATGATTTCAGCAATAATAGCAGAAGGCATTCACTTACCCTATGACAATGCAGGAGACGGCAGTTCCCAAAAAGGCGTAGGTTAAAATCGATCCTAAGTTACGAAAAAAATGTCTCTGGGGAGGAAGGTTTGAAAAAAAGTTCTTTGTAATATAGTTAATAAAAGAACATTCAGACCCACTTAAAACACTGCATCTAGAAGTGACATTTGTTACAATCCATATTTCAAATATAAGATCAAACAATATAGGTTCCATCAGTTATTTTGGAAAATACAATTTAAGATGATTAATTTTTTGCCTGTTGGAATGCCAACAAAATTCCCTCTTTTATGTATCCAAATGCTTCAGGATCATAACAAAAGTCCACATTGAACGTATCTGATGCAAACAGTATCATAACACCATTCCTTGAACAAGAAAAGTCCTAATCATGCAGTATATAAAATACAGATAGGCTGCTGCTTCCATTCAGTGTCACCAGATTCAACGTGGTCTCTTCTGAAAACACGAATGCCTAAGTGTTATAAACTTTACAATCAAATCTTTGTGCAGATGCAGAAAGGGAGCAGAATGAGGGCCATGCATCTTTCACTTTCTTCCATTCCTGTCAAGTTCTTCCCATGCAATATAATTGTTAACTGACTCCTTTCTCTGTCACTGGTCTGTTGGATCTAAAAAGCAGCGATCACATTCAGTCTCTTTTGTAATGTAAGAAAGAGGTACATACCTTCTTTAAACTATATCCAGCATGAAATATAATGGGTGGCAGCAAAATATTGAAGAAGATGGAAGGATCAAATGTCATCTGCCAGTAAGGACAAAAGAGAGGGTAAGCACAAATAAAGTAGCATTTAATTTGACAGGACAGGTTTAATTATAATTTCTTATCAGGATTAATCTCAGGATCTGCTTCAATGTGTGCAGGTGAGAATGTTACTCTGAGTTGTTTCCTTACAAGTATTAATGTGTAGTTCCTTACTGCTTATATATGTAGAATACTACTTGAAAGGCATTCCTTAAAGAAGGAAATCGGTCATGCACTATTTTACAGGGAACACATACAAGCAGTGCCACCTCTGACAGTAAATATCCTCACTACCAGACATCCAAATTGACAGTCTCATGGCTCAATTCCTGGTTCAGATGTTTCAGGAAAGACACATCATCAGTGTTGAGCTTCAATTCCGCACCCACAGAGTGCTGATAAAAGGCCTGCACTACCAAAGCCAATGTCATGTTTCCTTTGAAGCATAACTATTTAGGCACAGACAGAGCTTGCTAATGTTGCTTAATGAACCACTGGCTGTCAGCTAATATGTGCTTTCTTGAACTACTGCACATGAAAACTGTGCACACTTTGACCATCTTCATTACTCCACTTGAGTTAACCTAAAAGCCATCAAAAATATATTTTACCTTGCACTTTCAGCATGCAAAGAACATTCGTGTGGCTAGGTAACGTAGCTTAGATGTGACATAACTCATTAAACTGTAATGGTATAATCAGTTCTGCTAACCTGCCAGCACAGGTTTCTATTGTCCTAAAGCTTCTCAGTAAATCTACTGACTGCTTTTCCAGCATCATTTCCATTGTAACGTGTCTTGTAAAATACAATCTGTCTAATCCAGTCACTCGGTTTTGGCCTGCCTGCAACAAAACAAGCTTTAGACTCTCCACAGTAACTAGCTACTTCTAATTCCTAACAAAATGTAAGTTTAGTAAACTACACATTGTCCTTTTTGTCAAAAGGACTGCCCACATGAAATTCACAAATGGCATAAAGCCTTTTCTTCCAGACTTTGATCTGAGGATTTTGTGATGGCCTTAATTATTAGCAGCTCAACTAATTTACCAGTAACATCCTCATAAGTGCTGACACTGTAAGTCATATTGTCATGGCAATGAAACTGTAATTTGCTTCTGGTGACACTTATCTATCTCTGTGTTATGATGCAACATATCACTGTGTTACGAGATCTGAGAGGCGCTGATGCTGTCCTATTGCCTACTTATCTTGTATCTGTTTTATAGGCAAAGGGGTTTCCTTATATCCTCAATAAGCTAAGGACTAGATTCAGCCATTCTTCAAAGACTAACTGGATTTTCTGCAAACACATAGCTAAGGTGCTATTTTCTTCCAGAACTGAAGGTTCTGGGTTAGTAACTTGGTGGTTCCTGCTCTATGCCACTGGCTGGCACAGCAGCAGACACCCCTTTGTCCTCTGTTACACAGTTTGTTACACTCAAATGCCTGGATAAGGTCAGCCCCGTTCATGTGAAACATATATTGTTGTTTCTACAACAGCCAGAAACAGTTTATAAAATACCCACTAACTTTTTAAAAATAATGCTAGAATGAGGACGATGTTAGGCAAGGCAAAAAGGTCTTATTCCAGCTGCTGTCAGTACCCTGTTCATATTTGCCTTCAACTTCAGGCACACAGTGAAACCAAGGACAATACTCAGTCACTGCAATTCATTACAAGTAGCTTTCAGTAAAACAGAATCTCCAGCATTGCTGCAGAAAAAAATATTGTAATAAGCCTGTGCATCGTGTACTGTTCTGTCAGCAGGCTATATTATACCAATACTTTTAAAAGAGACAGGATGTAAGTAATGACACGGTTTGCGGCTCCTTTGTTCAGATAAAGAGATATTTTAAGGCTACAGTATTCTAGATGAATTATTTAGCTTCAAAAGAGTAAGACCTGCCTACAAAATTACTTCTGTCTTCTTACTAACAGATAGCTTGATCTAATAAACAGGAAGTGAGAGCTCAACTTTTTCTTCCATTCTGCTTACTTTAAATTACAAAGTTGAAACAATACTAGCTGGCAAACAATGTGCCAGCAACTTTAACAATTATAGTAACTTAATTGAAAAAATGGTAGAAAAAGGATTTTCTTCACTTATGAACTAACAGCCTCAAATGTTAATTCTGGAATTAACTCAGAAAATATTTTGAAATATTTTTTCCATAGGCATCAGAAATCCTGAATGCATGTTTTATTATTCAGAACCATGTTCTAAAGGATACACGTTTGTAAGTCATGGCACAGTCTATTCTTTTTTGATGAACACACTTGTAAACACTCATACTGAGGTCAAAAGGGAATTACAATTGTACAAAAACCAAAGCATGGTATGATCATGTTTTCTGGTTTTTAAGTTACTGCTTTTGCCAGTCAGGAGGGCTGCCAGGCATTGTTATTGTCTCCTAAATACTGTTGAATTCCTCCCTCTTTCCTTTTTTTTTTTAAATTTTCTTTTTAAGAAGGCATATGCAAGATAATTTTAAAGGAAAATTTAGTGAAAATCCAGGAAGGCTGAGGTCTCTCCAGTAATACAGAGAAACTCATAATTCACAGTTGAGTTATTTAAGAATCTTCCAGCAAAGTGAGACTATGGAAAGAAGACTGAGCAATCCTCTGTAAGAGCAACAGAAACTTCTGTGTGAGTTAGTGCTCCTCCTTTCTCATAACACAAGCCAGCTTCAGTATCCCAGTTTGATGAAGAAGTTCAAATGTCATGGATTAGTACATATACCTTGGAAACTAAACACACACCTCGACTAAGACAAACCTCTTGCAACCAACTAGCAGGAAAAAGGATGAAGATTCAGCAAAATCTCACTAGTCTGACCCCCACAGTATTTTCCTGTCTCCACCCACCACAGCTGTCTGTCCTTGACAGTCTAGTTCCTTCTGAGAATGGCAAGTCTGGCAGTAATGGCAGACGGGCACACAATGGTGCTGCATCAGCAAGGAATTTGAGCAGATAGTTAAATCCTAATTCTGCTGTTACCTAGTGTACAGTCTAAGCATAACTTAAAAGTTTCTGTAATGATAACCACTATAATACACAGAGGCATTTACTGCTGTGCTAGATAAACAATAATACTTGGAAAGCAGATAGTTAAATCCTAATTCTGCTGTTACCTAGTGTACAGTCTAAGCATAACTTAAAAGTTTCTGTAATGATAACCACTATAATACACAGAGGCTTTACTGTTGTGCTAGATAAACTTGGAAAAAAAGCAAAATAAGATATTGCAATATCGTTAAAAAACACTGGTAAGGGCTTAGAAGCTTCATATGAATGTGTGATGTTTTTGAGCAAAAAAACACTGGTAAGGGCTTAGAAGCTTCGTATGAATGTGTGATGTTTTTGAACGTAAAATCCAGGTTTTAAAAAGTTCCTCTGCACTCATGAGTTCTTTAAATTGCTGTTAATTTTTAACAAAGTGAATGTTACATGAAGTAAATATTGCAAGGAGGAGGAAAGAATATGCTAACAAAGTAAAATATTTTGTTATATACTGGAAAACAGAAAAGGCTATCTGTAGCAGACTGTAAACTTCCTCCCACACTTCCCTTTCTGCATCCAGCCTGAACTGCCACAATGCTGACTTCCCAAGCTTGGGGCTGGCCAGTGAAAGCCCTGCTGAGGACCACTGCAGTAGTGAATGAGAATGTTGTAATGCATTTAAGCATTATGAAAATACCACTTACCTATGGAAGTTTACATACGTACAAACTTATATTTTGTAAAAGGTTCAGAGTTTGTAATTAACTCTGCTGTATTACAAGGGGTAAACCTCCCTTGCATTATGCTGCCAGAGCAAGTCACTTTTAAGACAGAGGACAAATAAAGATATCAGTGGGGTTTATAAAGTTTTGGTGGTGATGAATCTGAGGTAACAACTGTGCCTGCAAGTGAACTCAACGACTGCAGAAGGTGGGACTGTCATCTAGAAGAGTTGAGGCGACTATTCTGCAAGCATACAGCCAGTCGTATGCTAAATAATGGTCAGGTTTCTACCGCACCGCATTTCCTTTCCTGTTCTCCTTCCTCAGTTACCCTTCTCACCCTAAATTCAGAATGGCCTCTCTCTCTCTGTGTCACATTTTAGCTTGAAAGTTGTTTTCCTCTCTCAAGGGTGTAAATAAAAGAAATATATTATGCAGTTTAGAACAAAAATAAGATAGCTTTTACCTTTTGAAGCATTGCATTGCCCTGGGGACCATTGACATTGTGGTGGCTGATCTCTCTTTTGTATTGATATTCATAGACCTGATTAGTTATATTAATAAGTAGAGTAGATGGCCCAGATTTCAGCTTTCCACATTCATAAACAGTTCCACTTCCAACATCTGATACTTTTGTTGCGTATCGTAAAATTAATCCCATTACAAGGCCTGGAGAGCAAAAAACGAAAAAACAGAGATTCAGGTACTTCTAAGTATCTCATGTTACACAATTACTGATTTGAAGAAAAATAAACTCTGTTAAAGCTAGGACATCACTTTCTCAGTGTTTCCACCTTCACAGAGGTACACCTCACTCAACACTTCATGGATGACCATAAAATTCTTACTAAACACTCACTTCAGTAACACATGGATGTTGGTTTGACATGCACTCAGTTGTACTCCTATTTTTGTGTTCCGGTTGCTGGAATCATTCTGATACAGTTATTAACTGAGTTGCTCAACCACTGCATTTTCAATAGATATGTAGAGAAGGGGGATGCCTGCATAACTAATGTGCTGTACTGAGCATAAAGACATCAGCTGTGCTTTTGGTGATTTTACTCACTTCATTCATGGGCACAAAACTCTGACCCAGTGTCCTCAGGCACATTCTGTTTTCTTTAGAAGACTGTATAATCATGGGAAAATAAAAGCAGGAAGAAGGAAAGGAAGATTAAGACTGGGATTAATTGATTTGATTATCTACAATGTAGACTCTTACCTAAGAGAGACATTTTGGCTCCCTTTACAGTTAACAGAGAGGAAACTGTACTTCTGCAATTGTCCTCTTGAATGTACACTTCTTTCTGTTGGCTCTAGTGGGAACTTACATGATTGTTTCAGGAGGGGTGACTAATATTTAGCTAGATAACATTACTGAGATTATTTTCACCCTGAGACTTGGATTTGCTTTCAAATTCTCTAGTGGGAACTTACATGATTGTTTCAGGAGGGGTGACTAATATTTAGCTAGATAACATTACTGAGATTATTTTCACCCTCAGAGACTTGGATTTGGTTTCAAATTTAATTTCCATGCTTCTTTTATGTACTATGTGCTTTAAGTCCCATGTACATTATGAACAGCTTTACAGATACTAATTATGAACACATTCATAAAATGCTGAGAATACTCAGATTAAATATCGATGGAAGACATGTCAACATCTAGATAGATACACTTACTAATGAAAGAGAAGAAATAAATTAAATTACAGGAAATAGATGATAGGCATCTGAAAAATGTGATGTTTAAGCTTTATCAAGTAATCAGATGCCATGGTGATAAAAGTGGTCATAAATACCTAGAAATATAAATAGGATGTCTTTGTTACTGTCACATTTTCCCATAGCAGAGACTCTCTGAACTGCAGATTTCTAGCATACACGTAAGGCAAGCTTGTAGCCTCCTGGACTGATGCTAAAATAGAATAAGAGCTGTATTGCTTGTTTAGTTTGAATATGCATTTATGCTTGTATTGTATCTATTGTTTAGTATGGTTGGTTTCTTCAAATGGGAGGAGGATTTAGATAAGCAGTGGAAAATCCCAAGGCCACTTTCTTAAGTTAAACAGCATTTGTGCAATAAATCAGATAATAAATCTAGCTGTAGTAAAAGACAGAACTCCTCACAATTTTGGGGGAAAGCACATATGAGGAAAGGGAAGCAAGAACGCCATGTGCTACTGTGAAATATAACTTCTACAGTGGTCAGCCTCAGATGTCCAAACGCATGAGTCCAGAACCCAGGAAACCATTAATTAGGTAAAACAGTCAGAGTTTTCATCCTTATTTTATTAAATTTCCACTAGAAGAACCACATATTTAATTTTCAAATTCAATTTCAAATACATTAAAAATTCAACTTCATTTGATGCTTGGACAAGATGTGATGTTTCCTTCTCATTCTCTGGAATAGAAAATTTTTAGTTTTTCCTTTACCATTTTTGTTCCTATCATTGAATGTTTTAAACTATAGCCTCAGTTGTACTTCTGTTGTCAGATATTACATAGACTTAAACCAGTTCAGGTAACAGAACTATTTTGCAGATGTCCACTAATGCCTGTGCCAGGACACTGGCAGAAAGACTACTCAAGAACAGAAATATTTGGCAACGCAGTTTGCTAGAATCAGTATCAGGTCAGAAGATGGAAGAGGTTTTGAATAGTGAGGAGAAAGAAGTGTTTGGTTAGACGAATGTGCCGTTACAACCTGTTCACCCATACCATCGTCTCCTCTTTCATTTCCATTTTCTTTCCCTCTGCATTCTCTCTGTCCGCTTATCAAATTTCTGTGTGTGTCCCTCATTATCTTTCTCACACAATTCTGTGCTTGCCCAATGTCTTGTCTTGCTGCATGTCCTGGTCTCTAACATTTAGCTGTTTGTTTACAGCATCTGTCATATTAACAGATGGTTTAACGTATATCCTCACACTATGACTTACAAAATTATGTAGGATAGTAATCTTTTCTTCTACTAGGCTTGTTTCTGTTATACAAGCAACAATAAGCATCATGCTTACTTGTGTAAGTAACAGTCTTCTTGCTACATACAGAAGACTTGAAGGAAATAGCACTATTTTTAACTGAGAGCTCAAAAATCATGAATGAGGAGCTAAAAACACTAAAGTGATTCTAAAAATAAAAGTTTAAGTTCTACTATTCAGAGTTCTTCTGATTTATTTTTTAGCCTTTGAAGTCTAACTGTTTACATGGCTTGTACACACACTAACTTTCAAAATGGCGATGTGGAACAGCTCAAGAGAGATCAGTGGAGACCAGCTGACGTTGCCTTTATAATCTCTGTTGTACAGCCAGGTGGACTGATGTGTCTTACAACATTTTGAGATTCCTGTATGTGTGTTGTATTGGCTAACACAACATATGTTTTGAACCAAATTCTGTTTGATAGTTTTAAAAATTAAAACGAATGTTCTCAATTATAGTAATGCAATTGCATTGAATTATTTCAACCTGTAGTGTCAAGTTTAGACTAGGAGTGGCGGACTGTTCTTATTCTGTATTCTGAGATGTTATCTTTATCTGTAGTCTCAAATTGCCTCTGTAGGAATTTTCTGGAATGGAAACAAATGCAGATATTGCAGATCCTAGTCCTGCAAGACACATCTTGAGTATAAATAAATCCATTTGCAAAAAAGGAATATTTAAAAAAATATGATCACAGTAGCTGTAGAGAAATAAAGATCAACACTGACTGAGATATACAACTGGAATTCAAGTTTGCCTTTTGGGTTTTCTTCTACCAGCTTTAGAACTTATCCTCTGATGGAGACCAGATCAGGATAATGTACAGAGCCACACAAATAATGAAATTATAATGAAGGAACAAGGAAATTGTGAGAGTATCCAACAGTATACCCATATTGGAGAAATTACATTAGAGAAGATTCTAACGATTGATATTCTCAGGGGACCAACGGGCCTTTGAGGTCCTTGTAGCTCTCAAAAAAATTCTATAATGTATTAAAAAAGAACAAAATGTGGACAGGATCCATAATGTGGACAGGATCCATAATGATGGATGTGTTGGTTCAGAATATTCTCAAATGCTCTATGGAAGGTTCAGACAAAGGCAATTGCTATCACTACGCTATATCGCAAGAGTCAGTGTGAGGGGACTGTATTCTCCCTTCAGTAATAATAAACATACCAAAGACCCTATATAAAACCCCCAGTGAATTAAAAATCTGGGAGGAGTCTATTCAATATTTTAGTAGGTGTATCATTTATGAAATGCACTTTCTTCTTTAAATCATTATATAACATTTCTTTCATGATAGAATTTAGGAGTGCAGATTATATTCTAATAAAAATAATTCATTTTGAAACAGATGTATAATGTATTCTCCTTTCCACTACCCCCCTTCCAAACTGAAGTCATGCTTTTGTAATGAATTCTCTGAAACATTCTTTATAGTTCATTTAAAGAAAAAAAAAAGGGAAATATAATTTGGATGTATCTACTATGTTTCCTTGCAGCCAGTGTTTTGTGGCAGAATAACTAAACATGAAAATTTTCTCACATAGTTCTATGGACTTGGGTATGTAAAAACATACCTTCTCGACAAATGGTTCTGATTTCGTAACGGCATGCACAGAAAGCCTGGCTTTACCGTGTAAGTCTAGGCATTCGGTAGTTAAAACTCCCTGAAGGTGAGTCAGGAATGATGTTGCACCCATTACCTGACATCACAAGTAGATATTATACTAAGGCAATGGTTAGCATGAATAAAAAAGTTTCAAATAGTGTTACATCAGTTAAAGATGTAGGTAATTTTAAATGCAAACTCTTATGCAAGGCTAAACTTGAGTGTACAAGCATAAAGTAGAGTACCTTTCTTGTATTCTAGGAGTCCAAATCCAATTATAAATGCTTCCATCTCAGCTTCCCCTAATTTAAGACATTTTCCTTCAAAGCTAGTACCCAGGCTTCATTTAATTAATGTTTTAAGCACATTTATTTAAATGTAGGATTGAAACACAAAAGTTTCAGAAACTGATCAACTAGTCCCACAGAGCACAACTCTGAAGGCAGGTACATCTTCACTCAGCCTCACCTCCACCCTAATGCGCAGCACACATCCCCTAGAGATGACAACTATTCCAGCTGAGAACAATTTCAACCCAAGTTGCCAATGAACCTAGCAGATAAAAGGCACATATTGTATTGGTGGATTGGGTTTTTTTTTTCAGAAACTGATCAACTAGTCCCACAGAGCACAACTCTGAAGGCAGGTACATCTTCACTCAGCCTCACCTCCACCCTAATGCGCAGCACACATCCCCTAGAGATGACAACTATTCCAGCTGAGAACAATTTCAACCCAAGTTGCCAATGAACCTAGCAGATAAAAGGCACATATTGTATTGGTGGATTGGGGTTTTTTTTTTTGTTTGTTTGTCTTACTGGTTTTTTGTTAAATTCTGGCTGCCTAGCTGCAGGAGTGCCTCTTAATCAGAGGTTGCTGGTGGCACCTGTATGTTGCCCTGATACCTAAATTCTAGGGAGGATGAGCAAGCTTCATACTTACACTAAATTTTTCATTGTGCTAGCTCTGGGTTATTCCCCTACTAACGTGGAGGGCCATGATTTATGTATTACATGGGGATTTTGGCACCTAACATTTTATGACTGAAGTATCTAAAGATACCAGGCCCTGTAGCAGCTACCTAATAGGCACTTAAGTCTAGTACTAAGAGGCCATCGTCTGGGGCCTGGTGCTAAGAGACGAGCCACCTGCTCTTATCTGAGAGCAATGGCATTCAGTTCTGTTACTGCTTCTATAGATAATCTACCACACCATTTCTGACTATACTGATGTATAGAAAATTGTGCTCATAATGTATGTAAAGAATGCTCTTGTCTTTCTGGGTAGCACAAAGTTACTCCTTTGTATTCACCTGCCTCCTTGATATACGGAAATGAGGAAGTAAGTTGAGTTTCCTATTTGGGGTCTGTTTCTCAAACTAAGCTACAATGTGCAGAGAAACTTGTTCTCTGAGGTATGGGAAAACAAAGGACTGAATGAATAAACAGGTAAGTCTGTATTCTTCTTCATTGATTGTGAGTGATTTTTCAGTTTGGTGTCAAAACAATTTGAGTGTTTAAATGCTTTCAAGCTAAATGCCTTGAAATGTGTATATATATATATGTATATGTACACAATTTTTTTGTGAAAGAATGTTTAATTCCTGTTGAATTAATTCTGGGTTATGCTAAATACTTTGGCTCTTTTCTTTGCAACTGTAGAACAATTTTTAATTTAAATATAGCTATATTTAGTGTTGAACCATTGCTTTGATAAAAAAGTTAATACATCTCAGTTTTTAAAGTTTCTAAATGGACAGTTTTCCAGTATGAGCTTTTTTTTTTAGCTGGAACTATTCAGCTTATAACAGCATTTATGCTTATGCAAAAAAAATCTCCCGAACAACCCTTCTATTTGTTCTATACTTTAACTAGAACTTTCTATCACACTGTTCCTAGTGTTCAATTTGTGGCTGTTCAGCCCTTTACAATAACTGTAAAACTTCTTCCTGTTTTTGTATGTTGTGGGTTTTTTTTTTTTTCCCATGGTCTTCCTCACATTTTACTTCTCCGTCCTTTTGACTGCTGTACACCTAATGGCACACTGTCTTGTTAAGGAATACAGACCCATCTACAATAACTGTAAAACTTCTTCCTGTTTTTGTATGTTGTGGTTTTTTTTTTTTTTTTCCCATGGTCTTCCTCACATTTCTCCGTCCTTTTGACTGCTGTACCCCTAATGGCACACTGTCTTGGTAAGGAACACAGACCCATCTATCACACTGTGGGACACAGTCTGCAAATAAGTGGCCATATTCTTCTATCACTTGAAGCAAAATTAGCGGTTTCGTGTGCTGCTATTCATGTATCTAGCAAATACGTCAATGGGCTGGAGTAAAGCAAACTGTAGTGCAGAGACTTTTGGTTTGTACAAAACAGGTAAAAACCAGAATTGTTCTGATAATGAAGGCAAAAGTATGTGAGGGCAGGATTTAGCTCACTGTCGGTGCTTGGTGGCATGAAAATTTTCTCCTAAAGTTGCTGCCTGTTGATCTGACACCTCTATCATGACCTCTGAAATTCCACTTTCTTTTTGTCATTGCTGTTCCACAATGTTAAAGATACCTAAACCCACTTCTAAAATTTCTAACAATAAAAAGGACATAATCAGCTTTTTGGATCTTATTAAGCTTTTTTTTTCTGTTTGAAGGTTGCCATAAATAATGCAAGTCTCAATAGTTTATCTACAATCAGGTGGAATGTCTCCTTTGTTCATGAATGTTTTAATAATTCAAAAGTTCTGTCTTGCTAGAGCACTAATCTGCTAACTGATCAAAAGAATATAATGAGCTGGCTGTCCTCACGATGTGTAGATAATGTTCTGGGCAGGCAGCAAAAACAGAATCATAAAATGGTTTAGGTTGGAAGGGACCTTAAAGATCATCTAGTTCCACCCCCCCCCGCCATGGGCAGGGACACCCTCCACTAGCCCAGGTTGCTCAAAGCCTCATCCAGCCTGGCCTTGAACACCTCCAGGGGCGGGGCATCCACAGCTTCTCTGGGCAACCTGTTCCAGTACCTCACCACCTTCACTGGAAAAAAATTCTTCCTTATATCTAATCTAGGTCTACCCTCATTTTGCTTAAAGCCATTATGCCTTGTCCTATCACTACATGCCCTTGCAAAAAGTCCCAAAATAGAATCAAAAGATCCAGCCTGGCCTTGAACACCTCCAGGGGCGGGGCATCCACAGCTTCTCTGGGCAACCTGTTCCAGTACCTCACCACCTTCACTGGAAAAAAATTCTTCCTTATATCTAATCTAGGTCTACCCTCATTTTGCTTAAAGCCATTATGCCTTGTCCTATCACTACATGCCCTTGCAAGAAGTCCCAAAATAGAATCAAAAGATAAATCAGTTTTTAATTAGAGTTTTATCTATTTGTGTAATGTTGTATTCCCTAGATAAAACTCTAATTAAAAACTGATTTATTTGTGTAATGTTGTATTCCCCCATATTTCATTTCTATTTTGATACCCTTTTGTCTAAAACTTCAACAAATGTCATCAACCACACACAGGAAATAGCACAATAGTGTAAACGAAGCTACTATAGAAGAGTCACCCCTGTGACTAGAAAAATATTGTTGAAATTTACATGTTGATCATAACGAATATATTGTACAGTGGTTCATGGTCTTCCTTTTGAGAGATGTTAATAGAAATGCAACAAGCAAATATATTCTCAGTGATGCTGTGTAGCTTGTAGCCCATAAAACTGTTAAACAGCAATCTAGATGTCTTACAGTGAAAACAACTGCATTTAACCAAGTATCATGTGATGCATATTTCAGTCTCAACTGACTCAGTGAAGTGTTTTCTGTGTGCAACAGATTTCAAGATTAGAAAGTGCATATTATCAAATACATACTTTTTCACAACCTTAAAACAAACACAAGGCAGATAAGAATTGAGAGATCCCACAGACTTCCTCACCCAGGTGTTAGGGGCTCAGTGGCTGGCTTAATACAAGAGTTTCTTGTTTACTTGCTTTCCTTCAAAATATCAAGTCACTTATGAAAATACCAAGTGACCCAAGCAGAGGAAATAGCCTGTGTTCTTGAAATTTCATAGAGTTATTTATCTATTGAAATAGTTTGAAAGAGATACAAGGAAGACCGATCTTCAGCTGCAGTTCTCCTATGGAACTGAGATAATCTTAAATACTTGATATAGCAACAACAGAAGCTTTTATCTCAAAATGTAGGGTCAGTTGCCTTATCTGTCACAGGCTTGCAGTTGAACCTCCATAGAGTCTTTTGCAAGCTGTGTGCCATATAAATATTCTTCAGAATATGCAGTCTTAACAAACCAGGTTTGGGTGTTACACTGCTAGAGTATGTGATGTGCATAGAATAAGTCTGAGTCAAAACAGGCTGGCATTTAGATGGTAATGACTGAACTGTTATCTCTTCCATGTCGACAGTGTTACCCTTCTATGTGTGTTTTATGGTAACAGGAATGGCAGTCACACTCTGTTCTCAAAGTGAAACAACAGTAAGAGAGAATGAGAGAAACCATTATACATGCAAGAGTATACCTTTAAACTAGTGAGTACTTATCAGCGGACAATGCAGAAAGTTCTACATGAAAGTGATATACAATATTGCGAAACTTAATAAAAGAACATTAGAACTAGACAGGCAAACTGAAATTACAGTACAATGACAGCATTCAGAGAAGACCTGGGAGAGGCATTCTTCATCGTCTATTTTTCCAAGGCACTGAGAAAAAACAAAAGCAAAGTCTCAAGATCATTTAAGCTTTTTTAGGCAACGTGGCTCTATCCACAAGGCTCCTTAGTCTGACACCTTTGAATGTTATACAAAACAAGCATGGAAAATAAGCAAATTAAATAACCTCCTTCACTGTAGGCATTTTATGCTTTCGAAAACAGTAAACTCCCTAACTCCCAATGTGTCATGCAGTGGCTGCCTGCCCATAGAAACACATAATGTGCACGTCATGAGGATAACCAGCTCGTGATAGTTGGCACCTTAACAAGTCAGCCTCTAGTTACTTCATGAGAGATGCTGTTACATTATTATTTTACTGTACGGTTATGGAGCTGATGATGTTTCATTTGGCACATTTTCTGAGCTTTGTCAGCACTTGAGATCAAGTGTCTGATCATAAATATGCAACTAGTCCCATGTTAAACTGGCACTTGAATTTATACTCACCATAAAGCATAGCTCCTCCAGTTTCATGCAGAAAGCGGAATCGATGGTTTTTAAACAACCAAATTGTTAATATTGTGAGAATGAGCAGAAAGTTAAAGACTAGCAACTCCACGGCTCCCTGATGATAAAACTGATCTTCATCTTTCACCGACACATATTTCTTCAACTTCTCCATTGCATTCCCTTTGGAAAATATGTGCAAAAATAAAAGAAAAAATCACAGGAAGGAAACTGCTGTCACCTTTGGTACAAAAAAGTCCAGATACTACAGAAATTCACAGCAAGCACATCTGTTTCATTTGCAGCCTCAGGGTAAAGGGCCTGAGCTCAGAATTCAGCTGGATTCTAGTTACAGCTTCCTGTTTCTCTCTTAAAGCTGCCCTGTCTCATTTCTAATGTTACCGTTGCATCACTGGGCTGCGCTTGCTCCAGCTGCAGATGTACAAATCGCCTCCAAGGCTCAGGCTCTGTCAATTTCTAATTAGTCTGTGTTCATAATGTTTGTTCCTGTAGTTTACCAAGGCTCAGGCTCTGTCAATTTCTAATTTGTCTGTGTCCATGTTTGTTCCTGTAGTTTGCAGCTTAATCTCTATCCTAAAAATCATACTTTGTCTTGATAGTTTAAGATGGAAAAACTGATGTTAAAAAAATGGCATAGCAACCTTTAATCATACTTTGTCTTGATAGTTTAAGATGAAAAAACTGACGTTAAAAAAATGGCATAGCAACCTTCACTACATTTTCGAAGTTTAAAGGTCTTTCCTCTTTCCCACTTTTAAATATAAGTGATCTAGAATAAAGGTGGTAATTTACTATGGTGCAAAGACATAAGGAGGAAAGAAAACAATGAATAAGGATTTCAGGATTTAAGCCTTGAACTTGTATTGATGCTGCAGAAAGACTGGGAGACCTCTGAAAAAGCAAAGATACAATTACCTAGAATTAAAAGCACTTAAACCCTATCAAACTGAATACAATGCATTGGAATTTACTTTCCATCATTTCTGCTGTTTGCATGTTTTCATTTACATTACTCAATTAAGTTGGAAAAACAGTAGAAATTACCTTGCTATTTATAGCTAATGCTCACAGAAGCTTTTCTGTCCAAGCTCAAGGCTGCAATACATGTATTATATTGGGGGATTTCAAATAAACTCTCATTTTAATCAGAAAAAAAATCCTGATTCTGCTTCTCATTAAAAAGGACAATCTTCTCATTATCTTTTTGTCACAATCTCAAATTTTTATTTTTTAAAAACATTTTGGGACAAACTAATCCCTACAGTATGCATTCCAAGTCATGTATTTGTCAAAACTGAATAAAATAGAAATAAATACCTAGATGTCCATACTGTCAGTAATTTCAGGGCTGTAGCTCATAATAGTATGAATGCTCCTAAGGATGCACTGTTGCTTCAATCTGAATGTTTTAAAATAATTTTTCTTTGGCAAACAATCAGTTCTGTCCTCTGTGTAAACTTATTTCATCACATTTTACATGTCTTCATTTTTTCTTTCACTTTGTATGAAAAGCAGTTTCCTTCCAGTTCTTTTCTAATTAATGCTTTTTCTTTGTTTACCAGGTATTTTTTTCGGTCTCTGTCACTGATTTTACTCTCCACTGTTTCACTATCTTCTCTTTTTCGGGTTTCCCTCATTTTCTCTTTCTTTTTGTAATTTTACCTGATAATTTGCAAACATAGGATTATTTACGTCAAAACTGTATTTCTGAACTGATTACCAGTGGAGTCTCTGAGATCAATAGTTGGCAAAAACCAGATGATACTTTGCAAATTAATGAACCATGCAACTCAATTTTGAGTGAGTGTAAAACTTTGATGTTAACCTGTATTTGTTGAGAATTACTCACTACTGTATTTTGAATGGCAAAATAATATATAAGGGAATTGGGTGTAGCAATTTCATTATGCAACTGATGCAACTCTCTTTAAAATGTTGTTCACGTAGCTGAGGCTGATAACTTTTATAAAGGAGAAAAAGAAAAATTGGGACTTGATTTGGATATCATATTCACAGTCTAAAAATGACAGTAACCTTAACCTTGTGAGACTGATCATCAGTCTCCAATGTGGCAGTATCAAAAGCAAACAAAAAATAACTTGAAAATAACCATATTCAGTATCTCACTATGAAAAACAAAGATTTATTTATGATGAAAACCAGAGCTCTTTGCTGCCCCTGTGAAATAGATAATAGATAAAATCAATGGCAAAGAAGCAAAAAACAATGAAAGGAGGTAATTTTATATTGAAAATCTCAATAATTAGACTGTTCACCTCAGATTTGGGAGACCAGGTTCAATTCCCTTTTCTGTTTGAGTTTACCTGAACCCACATTTCTCACCAGACAATAAGAAGTTCCTCAGTCTTAAGGCTAGAGCAGTTGCGGTATGAAATATTTGAAACGCATAAGTGTTAATTTCCCAAAGCTGCATTTCCCCTTTTGCAAAATAGGGTTATAATTCTGCCCTGTCTCACAAGATATAAACTGATGTATGTTTGTGAAACAATCACGTGCTATAGCAATTTCTGAAGTTTGAATCTTAACAACATAAGGGCTTGAAAAAAGACTGTACCTGAAAACTAAGACCAAGTGTCCCAGCTTTACAAACTTTTGAGCATGTACTTAACTTTCTGAATGGGAACACTCCCAGTTAAGTCACTGATTCCAACCTCACTTACTGAATAGGTTTTGGACTTAACAGATTAATCTAGACACATACTGAACTTTCTCTTTACTGATAGTTAAGGGGGGTATGTTTCCTTAATGTTGTCATAATAAAAAAATGCTTATACTTCAAGAGCTTATTACTGTAATGGATGAGGGATAAATTATGTATTTCATCCCTTTAACTGCCTCCATGTTCTGGATTGCATAGAAGTGAATTATTTTTGTAGAAAAACCCCATACCTCTACAGACAATAGCTATATATTTCAAAGCAGCCTTGAAGGATATATAACCATAGTTTCGATCCTGAGATCAAACCTTTCTTTTCTTTAAGCTATTGGAATATCTGAGATAGCCATGAAAAGGTTGGGAGAAACGATCAGGTCTTTACATCTTGCAGACAGTGGCTTTAAACACTAGGCTAAACAGTTCTGTTCCTACATACACTCCGAGTTTGGCAAGAGATTTTTGAATGTTGTCCTTCACGCACAGAAGCATACCACCAGACACCCGGGAAACCTTGCAGTCAGAGTTTTCTATTAGCTGAATGGAAGTTTTAGGCTTGCAGGTGTCAGACTTGGAGCTTAAATACTGCCAAAGACTCAGCACAGCTCCTTATATAATTTTGGGGAGATCTGGTTCTAAGCAGCATTCATCATGTTACAGCATTGGGCTTTTAGGTATTGGTTTCCTCTGTGAGATGCAAGACAATTTTATATCAGCTTTCCAGACATGGCCACCCATGATAGTTGCTGCTTATGAGGAATCCAGAAACAACATCCAAAAATGTTGTTTTTCTCCCCATTCTCGAACGTTGTATTAATCCTTCACAGAGCCACATAACACTTGTCTAATCCTGTAACTGTATCCTTGTCTGCAACTGGCAGTAATAGAATTTTTAGCTTGCATGTCCATTATGCCAAACACATTTTATTTTCTTTTTGTTTAAACATAAATTTTGATGATATTGATGATTTGAAACTAAGCATTTACCTCCCCCCCCCAAAAAAAAAAAAAAAAATAAAATCTACTTTTTTGTTTTTAACTCCAGGTGGGTTTTTTTTTCATTTTTACATTCTACATTTCTTCAAATGCCTTTTTTTTGTGTCAACTTTTTTCATCTTCTTTTTGATTTGGTGTTTAGAGCATACTGTGTGAATTCCAACCAACATGTAAGATTTCTGATTCCTGGGCAAAGGGATTTTTCCAAGTTACGTGTTAAGGGTTTTTTTTTCTAAGTGAATTTCATAATTTATGTGGATTCATTCTATCTTGATGAAAGAGTTATCATAGATATTTATTTTCTAGGGGTTTTGTCTTAATGATTTTAACAAAATTCGGTTCCCGTCCAACCAGAACAGTTTAGCATTCTTAGTATGTGTTTGCACTGTGCTGTTCTAAATAAATTAATGCAGGTTTGTGTCAGTTGACCTCTTTTCCACAGACTGAGTTTAACTTACATTTTTGGGGAAGGAGATAAAATAGGCTTATGAGTGAACTTATTGCCACTAACATTCATGAAGCTTCTAAAGAATCAGGTATTTAAGATGGCCATGTTGAAGCAGTATAAGCTTATGCACAGGTAGATCTTGGAAGTAATTCTCGTGCAATGCTAGTGAATAGAAAGCTGATGTTCCAGACTTTTCTAGTGATTGAGTATGCAGACTGAAACACGCAAATATTTTTCATCAGGTGATCTGTGCTAAGGGCCTGGGCTCAAAGAGAATACTTTTTTTTTTAGTACAGTGAAAAATCTCTCTGCGTATAACTGAAAAATGTAATGTGTCTCACAACACGGTTGTTTCCTGTTTGACAGCATTTTCCAAAAGTGACCATTTTTCTTTCTAATCTTTCTAATTTAATATCATTATTCATTTACTATGAAGAAGTACTACAAAACAAAGGGTAGCATGTTTTTTTTTCTACAAAACAGAGAATACTTGGTTTTATATAACTGCCACAGTTTACCTGGAGAATACCATTGACTTAGCTTGATTCCTTACAGACAGTACAATGTGTTCTAATTTTAGGATTAGGAATAGCAATGCTTACATTGTTCACAAGGCTTTTAGGAATTCATTAATATTTGTAAATGGTCTGAGATAATTGAGTGATAATGGTCTGAGATTCATTGAGTGAATAAAATATTGATATCATCTTTTGGCATCAGTTATTTTAATTTTCCTTTACAAATAGGAACTGGTGCTTATTTCCTGTTCCTTCTGTATCAGATAAGGCATTCGAAAAATATCATAATGGCTGAGGATATAGAGAAGCAAAATTTTCATATCTGAATTTTAAGTTAGTAATATTTTCTAAGTGGGCTGGATGTTCATCTGCAGCAATCCACATGAGAGTTTACTACTATATAGTTTATTGCTATACACTATTTGAAATATGCAAAAAATATTAAGATATGGTGATGATGAAGGCAAGCTAACTATCTCATACAACATGTTTTCAAGTGGGTATTTTATACATACGTTACTGGGAAAACATATTAGAACTAAGTAGTACAGGACCTTAAGAATGCTTTTTGCTTTTAATAATCTGATGACATTTTGGTATGTATAGGCTGCTCAGAAGGATGCCCCAAATGTTCAGAGTTGTACACAGAGAATAGCTAATGTGAAACCTGTAAGTAAT